TGTTCCAAACATGTCGTGTACCACTCGTTTTGTTTCCGTTGATGACGCCTATGTATTCCCTGCCCCCCCCCCCCGGTGAAACTGAGACCGATAATCCCCCCGCCTGTGAGGTTCGATGGTGGATTGGTAGAGGTAGGGTTGGCTCTTGTGGCATGGAGCTGTACAAATGGTGTAGGGTTCATGCGGTTTAGTCGTGTGTGAGCTTGTCGGATTCTGTCCTAGATGTAGGATGTCGGCCCAACACTGGATGGGTAGTTCGAACGCGGTACAGCAAGAAATTGCTTACGAACTACTCCATCTGGAACTCTTTCCCCTGAAGAATTCAAGCAGATTGATTGGAAGGGTATCACTCACGAAGCGGCGTGTTCGAGGTGTGTGACGCGCGCCTGTTTTGTACGAGCGCGCGAAGATCGGAACCCCTTGCGGTACTTGGAAGTATTCTCATGCCTGTCGAACGTGACGTGTTCGGTTGGCCGGGATTGCCAATCAGCCGACGGCATATGTCTGGTTTGGCACAGAAAACGCAAGGATTGATGAACCACATCTGTTTCATCCTTGTGAAACTTAGCCTGATGGGCCGGCGAAAACCAGGCATATGGCTCCGTCCCGGCGTTGTAGGGATGCGAGGTCCATTGATCTAACGACCACGGCATGCGCTTACATGATCACCCCCCCCCCAGAGGGAAGTGTACATGACTGAGCTGGGAAAGATACAAGGGAGGTACAGGGAGATGTTTGAGACATGGAATAGAGAGGAGAGGACGGTAGCTGTAATGGGGAGTAGGAAGTGGTTTGAAAAGGCGGGAAGGGATATCGTTAGGATAGACAGACTAGGGAAGACATTTTTTAGCCACCTTTGGCCAAAGTAGGGAGGAACGATTGGCCATCGGTGATCGGTCCTGGGGGAGCAGTGCTCCGTCCTCTGGAGGACGCGTGGTCAATGGTCTAACCGCTAAGGCATGCAAAACATAAGGGTACCCCCCCCCCCCCCCCACCTTCCCGTAGCCGGGTGGTATCGTGCGGTGCCTCCGCCGTGCGGGTACCCGCAACCCCGTGATGCTGCTGGACGAGGTCGACAAGATCGGTTCCAACGTGAGGGGCGGGGACCCGTCGGCGGCGCTGCTTGAGGTGCTGGACCCGGAACAGAACGACAGCTTCACGGACCACTACGTGAACGTGCCGTTCGACCTGTCCTCGGTGCTGTTTGTCGCCACGGCGAACAAGGTCGACGCCATCCCCGAGCCGCTCCTGGATCGCTTGGAGGTACACCCATTACATGCCCTGCGTGTCGCATGAGAACGTTGGTCAGGGCGGGGTTCTTGTGCTTGTTTTGTACGATGATGTTTTTGTGGTAAAGTGCGGTGAGATATGAAGCACGGACGACCACACTGCTGTATCGCGGCGCCCTGTGTCCATCTTGACGGCAAGAGGTGGGCATTGCGCTTTGGGAGATGTTTTTTGGTAGGTCTCGGCGGTCTTCGCGGCTTGCATCTGAGTGAGCAGACACGACGAAGCCCGCAGTGTCTGGCAAACGCGCGCCTCGGTGCCCATTTCGGGGTGACATTGCGGCCTGTTGCGTTGGGGATCTGGCCTGCTCTACTCCCGTGGGTGTGGGCACTTGATTCAAGAGTGGCGAAGGTCGGGAGGGAAGGATTCGTACCCGTCGGACAGTGGCGAACACGCCCCCTCATGCTCTGACCCTCTCGTTCACGCACGCAGAGGATGATCGATTTCGGAACGTCTTCGTTCGCCGACCCTTACTCCGGCAAAAGTACCTGTACGGTCCTAAGCCCCGCCGATTCTCCCTATCCGCGTCACCCCCCCCCCCCCCCCCCCCCTTTCAAACACACAATAACCCCCCCCCAAAAAAAAAACCAACCCCCACCCAAACCCACACCCCCCAAAAAAAAACCAAATTCCCCAAACCCCACCCAAACCCCAAACAAAAAAAAAAAAAC